AAACCATTAAGATACAACAGGCTGACTAAATGAATTGGCAGACTATGTACCAACTCTAATTCATGAGGCCGGAATAATATCATACTGCTGAAGTGGATCCCAGAGTTTTTGGAACAACACACAAAATGCACTCTCCGTGTCCATGTTACACTATATGGCAGCAAATATTCTCTCAATTTGGGCTTTCATCCTAACGCCCTCGTGATCAGGTACAGGAATGATCTGGATCAAGTATTACTCAAGGTTCAGTAGCAGCGAGTTAGGTAGAAGAAATGTTTACCTCTTAAAAACAAGCAAAAAGTAAACACGGGCACACGAGGAAACTATTTTCAACTAATCCCTCAGCCCAGAGCTACTTGACCTACCATTTTAATACATCCGCAACATAGAGAAGGCATGGTGCATTAACAGATGCTCCTGTCTCCCATTGGTACTTTGCAACAGATGGGGTATTTTATGAAATGTAGCTTTACAATCAGGTGGAAATCTAAAACCATTAGAGTTTCTCCAATATATAGGGCTATAGTGAAACAATTTAATCTAAGAAAAGTGGTCATGGCTCTGGGAAACAACTGACAAATGTGAAAATTACACTCAAATCTTTCTATCCATTACAAAACCCACTGAATGCCTTCTAAAGGCTTAAGCCATCTATCATTCCTGCTGCCAATGTTTTCAGCTGCTACAGCTTGCTGGACCAGAAAACTAACCTCGGTTTCAGTGGCAGATCAGAGCCTCATAGTTTGGCACGGAGAAAATCTGATGAGATAACGACTCCTCCTCCAGCTGCGGCGTTACACGCCAGCAAAGTGCATCATAAAAATGCTGCGCTAATCCTCCTTAAAATGAAAAAAGGAAACCTTCAGTGTGAAACAGAAGCAAAGGGAAATGAAACAGGGCGGGAATGAGAGTGATGCGGAGTGCCGATGGTGGGGAGAGGAGGAGGAGGATGATGATGACCTCCCCTCTGCTCCGTCAGAACAACCAACAGCAGCTCAGGCCGCACATCAAGAGACAGCCCCGCCCACAGGGGGACAAGAGCAGAGGAGTGTGGAGGAGCAGGTCGGATGGGGGAGGGAGCCATCCTGATCTAGACTCTGCTACGTTATACCCATCAGACACAAAGGAATAGGTCTAATGAGACATAACGGGATGGACTCAATGACACTATTTACAGGCTCGAAAAGAGTTTCACATGCCACCAAGGCCGAGGGCACAAAACACACTGCAAGGTTAAATCCTACTGTCTCGAGGTACTATCAAGGTAGTTTATTTATCATTACACAGCACAAGGTTGTAAAACAAAATGAAAGTTTGCAGTTCCGTCAAGCTACACACATATAATTAAATGCATATTAGAATATGGCAACATAAAATAAAATAACAACACGTTATACAGTTATTTATATACAACCAGAAAACAATTCTGCAGTGCACGTTTTGAATTTGCGTCCATGTGAAAAACATTACACTGATTCACTCTCGGCCATACGTTCTCACCACAGCACCGAGGAATAAATGTCTGGTGAGCTTATTTCACCCATTTACCTTGCACAGTCCAGGAATTGGTCATGTGACAGGCACATGTGGAGCCCACCAAGCACTTGCAATACGACACCGTAATGATCATATACCTCTGGAAATGTTTTCACTGAGGTCCACGGGCTGAATAATACAGCAGTGATTAGAGAGCCGTCTAGTTTCTGGTAACATGATTACATTGTTCCGATACCAATGTCACTAGATTACCTGTAATACAATAAATTAATAACAAACAAATCTTTTCAAAAACAACCGAATAGACGAGTCTTAATTTGACATTGTTACGATGAGGTGGCACAGAAACTGAATTTTATGGACTGGTTAGATGACTCAACATTGCAGGGGGATCAAAGGTCATATAATACTGCAGCAGCAATCGTAGCACATCCAGCCCAGAAGTCAGTAGAAATGCCAAAGAGGAGAGAACAGTGTTACGAAAGGACAGTTCCGTGTTTAAAGGAACAACTTGCCGGACTCAATATAGACTGCCTTCTGAGCAGTGGGAACTTGGGCCATATCCCTGTCATGTTTGCCCATCCAGAGCTCCACTCTGCATTAGTCTCCATCTCCAGAGAGGCCTCAAGCCTCACATTATCCCATCTCCCTTTGGCAAACACCACCATCATCACTCTGTCCCTCCTTTCTCCTAATCCCTCCTTACCATCACTGCATTCAAGTCGACTGGGCTTTTGCACACTGATCTCCAAAAAGAGGATCAACTGAATAACCCTTAATTGTGCATAAGTGTGTACTTGCTACTGCCAAGTTTAATTGCATCTTACTGACTTTAGGGCAGGGTGAAAACTCATCACAAGCTTTCATTTTGTCTTTAAAGTTGCATGGATTTCATTTAAAGTAAACCTACAGACACAAGTTTAAATGTTTACAGACAACCCCATCAAAAAGCTGACCTGGCCTTCACTAAAGATCTTTAATGAGCAAATATAAAACATAGCACAAGCTCCAGAATCAGACCGTTAGAGAGAGGGTGGGGTGCTTGTTCCTCTTAGAATAGTAAAATAATAGCATAGGAAATGTCGGGAAAGCAGACTGCAGTGGGTGCATCAACAAGCCAGAGGTCCATCTCTGGGGCATCTCCCCAGAGACGCATTTCCTGTCTGCTTGATGATCTGTTGACTCCCAACAGATCACCTTATCTTCGTCTGTTTCCTGCAGAAAAAGCAATCCAACACACTGGCACCACAAGACACAAAGGAGAGCCAGCCATCAAGGAGGGTGTGGCACGGTCTGGGACAACCAGGAGGGAAGTGCCACCAGACACTGCCCGCAGTCATCCATCACTCCACTGACACCAGCTGCTGGAGGGCTGTTTTCCCAGTACTAGTTGTCTGAAAATGCCTGCCTGAATGTTGCTACTGATTCAGGAAGAGATAGCAGGTTGATCATCTGCCTAACCTAAAGGAGTTCAGTGCAGAAATGTGACACCTGTGTTTATAAAACTGTTCTCTGCACAGTTCTACAGTGATGTGTCACGTTAGCAGTGTTGAAAACAATTCTTTCATTACATTTGATTAATATCGTGGTAGCTGCATGTTAATGACTCTGCACAACCTTAACGTGTTTGGAACACAAACAATTAGATTCTGAACGCTTGGAACTTATATAAAAACAAAACTACAGCTTGAGTGGTCTATCGTTTAATATGAGCGCTGCTCATGAAATCTTGAGTCATTAGGATGACAATTTCATTTTGTTTTGACTTTCACAGTTTACAACGGGGGCAGGATTTCTAACTTCATCTACCAGGCTATTTATTAAGAATAATAATTTTAGCCGTTTTTCGCTTAACCGGATTTATGATGATATTTTCGTTTAGCTAACCTCACAGCGACGCTTGCTTATTCATCTGTTTAGCGCTCCGGTCAGACACTAACGTTAGCTAATAGCTTCAGCTAACCAGCTAGCATCACCACTCCCTTAGTTGTTGCGAGTTCACCCTGTACAAACTGCCGAGCTGATCATTAATTAACACGGTACCATACGTCCATACAACTTAAATACACGGTTACATACAGGAATAACACACGTATAAAATGAGTTTAGTGAAAAAACACAGCTATTACTTACCGAGAGCTAGGACTGACGGCTAGCTCAGCCCCTTTAAATCCAAAATGTCTCCAGCACAACAAGATTCTCCCAGCAGCCTCTGCGGCGGAGTTGATGTATAGTGACGTCATGTTTTGTTTTCGCTGCTTTTCTTAGGAGCAGAGCCCTTCAAAGCCCTTCTTTAAGGGAGAAAGCATCTTCAAGATTATCTATCTATCTATCTATCGTGGTGTCCACAAACACAAATGTTTAGTCTAATATTTGTAATTATATATTTTTACTTTACGGAACTTTACGGAATATAAAATGGGGTACTGCGCACGTGATAGTAGGTGACGACTTTAACTTTAAGGTTTAATGTTTAACTTTCAAAGATATTTAACTATCCTGTAATAGCTTACAGTCTATGGTAATATCCCATAAATTCCGCCACTGAAAAAAAGAATAAGAGAGAGCAGATAGTGACATCTGGTGGTCAATTTGTGAGCACCAACAGGTAACTGATTCTGCCAGTTCAATCTAATTTAAATTCTCCACACTCTTCTACAAACAATTAATCCAAAATAGATGTCATTTCTCCTTTACCCAGGTAAATATATTTCCTCTTTAGTGTTGTCACAGGAACAGTTTCTTGCCACAAGCCATCACTCTGATGAACAGCTGACTCACATTGTCAGGAACAATTCCTATACAACAACCCAGTAACTCTGTCTCTAATCAGCCACCTATTTACCGGCTTCTCTATTTCAGAGCTGCTCATACTGTATATTGTATATACTGTATACCAAATCCACCAACCTCATGTACATAACACCGCACATAATACTTATTCCAGCATCCTTTGCACTCATCACACTGTGTACATGTGTACACATATGCTTGTATGTGTATGTGCACCTGTATATCACATCCACCTACGACGTGTACATAATAAATAATAATAATAATAATGGTAATAATAATTTACTCCTGCATCCTTTGCACTCTGCTCATTGCACTATTGTCTAAATCTGTATTTTGTTTTTGTTTATAGTGTGCATATGTGTTCTCTATACTGTAGCCTGTGTTTGATTTTATTACCGTATTAACAACACTTATTGTGTTGTTGTATTATTGTATAAGTAAGCACATCGTGAGCATTGTACAATCCAGAGTCAAATTATTTGTATATGTACACATATCTGGCAATAAAGCTGATTCTGATGTTCTGTCTGATGTTTCTAGTATTACATATCTATTTTCATATGATGATGACAAACCAGGACCATGTTGACGTACATACCATGTAAGCTGTTGACATGGGAAGATGGGTATATCATAAATAGTCAACTTTAACTTGTAACTTACAGTTTTTAATAAATAAAGGAGAAAAGGGAGCTCTCAGCGCTGGAGTATACGTCATCAGTGCGCGACGTAGCGTGCAGGACTGAAGGACGCCGAAAAGAAGCTTGAGATGAAATGAGTCAATTATAAAGGTTGGTTTAATGTTACTATTTTATATTGGGTTATTTTGCATATTGGAAGTGACATTAATGGCCAATTTGGCTTAGTTTATTAAAACATAACCCAGAAGGCAGGTCCATTTTTGAGCCGTATTATTTATCTCACTTGGTAGATTCGGGCTAAGCTATTAGCGATAGCACACGTTGACTTGCCATTTGGTAAAGGTTACTCCCCTAACGTTAGGGTGATGACAGTATAGGCACAGTTGAGACAAAAAAAAATACAACAGTAGATACATTGAAACGTAGTAGGTTGTGTTATTTTGTTGACCACTAATGATTTGATTCCTTCAAGCTTAGTTAAAAGTTAGACTGAGTAAGAAGTTGGATAAAAAGCAGGAGAAATATTCTAGACATTATTCAATATAGTAAAGCTAATGTTGTGCGCCATGTAGTGCAAACGCAGATTAATGGAAACCACAAAACTCACATCTGGCAAACTGCCTCTCTTCAGCTCTGTCAGCAGGACGCTGTTATGATGGCGGTTTCGTGTCTAACTCGAGCTCTGCGCTCCCTGACCCTCTCCCAGCCTGCTCTGCTCTCCTCGCAGGTAAGCAGGCTGTCAGTCAAAGTGGAGATCTGAATCGTCACGAAATCACAACTACCGAACAAGCTATGTTGCCCTTTGCGTTAACAGGCAGTTGCCCAGACTAAACTGGGAACCCAGGTGTCCAGTGCAGTCGGACAGTGCAGAGGCTTCCTCACCACAGCCTCTCTGGAGCAGAACAGGACGTTTTGGAAGCAGAGGGAGAAGTACACCATCAGGCCCATAGGAATGAAAAAGACAGGAGGCCGAGATCACTCAGGTAAAGAGTGTGGGCAGAAAAAGAATAAGAGTCTGTGTGTTTACAAGCGAGGCTGGCAAAGGACGAGGCTGAAGTTGGTTTCTAATGTGCAGGATATGTGCTTAGTTTGTTCTTCACAAATAGATTAAAAGCGTACAAATCTCAAACAGGGTTCAAAACGGTCTTTTGGCCTTCAGTGTCAACCAGTGAAGGCCTAACTGGCACGTTTGCAGAAGGTTTTACAATACATCTGGAGTATAGTGATCTGAAAAACTATGAAACTGCCCTTTTCCTGTTTTTACAAATAGAATAAAGGTTCAGAATCTGTCTGTAGGCTGTCAGCGTTACTCTAGTCCAGGTTTGATTAGACTCTGTAAAACAGTGTTTGATATAAACCTGTATTGGATCATATACACCAGTCTTTACAGAGTGAAAAACTGCACTAATAGAATAAAGATTTCACAAATTTTAAACTTTTTTTGATAATGATACATGATGATTGCACATTTAGCAAAAATGCAGAGCATGATGTATTTCAAGCTTCTCAGATGTGAGAGTTTGCTGCTTTCATGGTCTTATATGTTAGAAAACTTATTATCTTTGGGTTGTGGACTGCTGGTTGGACAAAACAGGTAATTTGAAGATTTTACTTTGGGCTATAAGCCATTGTGATGGACCATTTTCTCACACTTTACAGACAGAAAGAGCTGCTCATCTTTCTTTCTGCCACACAGGAAGGATACGGACACATGGCATTGGCGGTGGCCATAAACAGAAATACCGGTGGATAGACTTTCAGCGCCTGCGCTATGAACCAAACAAAGAGGACCAGCCCTTTGAAGAGAAGGTTGTTGAAGTGCGATACGACCCATGCAGGTCAGATCACCTTTCATCACACTTTGATGAACATATATACTAAAGGTTATGAACATAGAGTTGGTTGTCACAATCTGTGCTGTCTACACAGGTCTGCTGACATTGCCCTGGTAGCTGGAGGCAACCGGAAAAGATGGATTATAGCTACAGAGAACATGCAGGCTGGAGATGTCATTAAAACATCTGGAGTGATTGGACGCATGGCAGGTATAAGATCCACTCTGGGTCGTCACCCTCCAAACATTCACTCAAGATGATGGAAGTAAAGATTCGGTAGATTTTGGACTATCTGCATTTAATGCGATGTTAGTCAGCGTCCTTTTTGTTTTTACTGTGCAGTCTCAGCCAATGAGGGTGATGCTTTCCCACTGGGAGCCCTTCCTGTGGGGACACTGGTAAACAACCTAGAGATACTACCAGGGAAGGGATCAGAGTACATTCGTGCTGCAGGTGATTTATTATTTTCATGTTTGTACTTTATTTCCTAAATGCTTGTTTGCATTAAAAAGCTTTTTTTGTATTTGTGTGTATGTACAGTCAGGGCTGCAGCTGCTGATAACTTTCAATGCTGATTGAATATTTTCTTTAAAACATGAGCTCAAAACTCAGATATTCAACTAATTGATTCCGCAGTATATTGTGAGTTAATACTGTAATGCATTACTTACTGACGCATAGATGTACATTCACCTTTATATGTAAATCTGACGGTGAATAAATGATTTGATAATTATATACTTGCATTAAGATCTGTTCTGTCCCTGAGTATCCTTGGGACAGCTTCTTCCGCTAGAGATTGTTTGATGTTATCTGAATGCCTTGTGCATTTTGAACAAGGTAATGGCTGATGCAAAATGTGGTTGCTCGTAATAATTCCTAAACTGAATGTTGCGGTTAATTTGGTTTTCAGGTACAAGTGGTGTTTTGCTCCGTAAAGTAAATGGAACAGCGATCATTCAGCTTCCTTCCAAGCAGCAGGTTCAGGTGAGGATATCTGGATTAACATTTCACCTGCCACGTTCAAACCATAATCTGCTCTGAACTGAATGTTGTCATCTTGACACTCACACACAGGTACTGGAGACCTGCATGGTAACGGTGGGACGCGTGTCCAACATTGACCACAACAAACGGATCATTGGCAAAGCTGGTCGCAATCGCTGGCTTGGCATTCGCCCCTCGAGCGGCTTGTGGCAGAGAAAGGGAGGGTGGGCAGGACGCAAGATTAAACCGCTCCCTCCGATGAAGAGTTACGTCAACCTGCCCTCAATCTCTGCTAAATAACACAAGTCTGGACGTGTTTGGGACTGGAGATTGCTGTATCTTGCTTATAATCATCTCGTATTATTATTTTTGGTTCTCACGATGAAAACAAATCAATTGTTCGGAGAGAATACATGAATAAAGACAAGCCCTTTGTACAGAAGATTAAAAATTTTATTAAACACAACTGCTTGTGAGAGCATGGAAAGAAACAAAACAATATAAAATTCCAAAACATATTTACATCTATAGTAAAACATGCAGAGTAACCCATATTTTTAGTGGTAAATTTAAAAATACTGTCATGTCATTTAAAATAGGTTTGTGCAAAGACACTGGGTGGCATTTCAAGTCACAGGAGCAATAAGATGGCATGTTGTCATTGCAATTTGACCATTAATGAGAAACATTAACACTGATGTTAAGAGTAAATTTTTTGCAGTGCTAAATAATGGTGACAAAGTGAGCATGCCTGCTTATTGGTCCAGTCTTGTAAAACACCCCCATGCTACCTCTAGAGTTAGGGCAAAAAAAAAAACTTGAGGTCAAATACATTAATATAGACTTGTCATTATGCCTGTTTAGTATCTAAAAGGCTAACTCACATGACAAATTCCCTCAAACAACTCTGCCCTGGCTAACACTTCACAGCCCGGGTTTACAAATACGTAAGAGCCAGTTCTCCCAACTAAAAGAAGATAGTGAACCCTTCAAAAAGCAGGAGAAAAGAAAACTTGACTGTATAGTCACAGGCAGACACGTATGGTGGCAGCTGCAAAATAAGCTTTTCAACATCAAGTGGCATAACATTAAGTAACAGACAACCATGATGGTTTGTCACAGGGACCTCACAGGGCGCTTAAACCCATCAACATGAACATCCCTATGAAAAGGGGTCATTTTGAAATAATAAAAAAACACCCTCAAAGAACAGCCTTCTTTTGAAGATAGGTAGTGGTTTACATTTCAAATATAACACCTAACGCTTCATCTCAAAGAGTGTCCCAATTTGAGCTAAAATGTGTTTAAAACCACATGAAAGTGCATTACAAAGTGAGGGAAATTTATGAGAAATGACATACCTAGTAGTGTTTGCATTGTACAAGTCAACTTTGTAGTTATGAGCTCTTGAAATATATTTGGCATTTATGTCATGAAGTAAAGGTAAGCTATTTGTGCTTTCAATTTAGTGAAGGGGATTTGCAATTCACAATAATATATCTTGTATATATTTATATACAATACTAAAAAAAAGCCAGCCTATCAAAGCTTGTAAGTCTTCACTTTATAAAAAAAGCAACAACAAACTCATACAGAAGGCCCTTTGTCCAAAGGTTTCCTATTGCAAAAGTTTCACGTGACACCATTCAGGGAGTACCATCGAACATATAGCACACCTACACAGACACACATAGGCAGTGACTTGGACACCTGGCAAGACTCCATGCGCTTTTCATCCTATTTTAAAAGCAATTCATTGCTTGCATTTGACACTACTGTCAAAACATGTTTCAAGTCAGACCAACTCACGTTATTTTCCCAGAACAGGCCTACACAATACTAAATGCTCAGTATGTTTTAGGTTAGGTACTACCTGCACATCCAGCCACAGGAAGCTGTATTAAAAGGACACAACGGTAATTGCTTGGTTTGGATGTGCACACGTCTTGTAAATGCTTACTGGGTTTACATTTGGCCAAATGTGGAGCAAAAACTGGTAACTGGCCCCGGTAGCTCACCTGGTAGTGCGCACACCATGTATCAAGGCCCTTACTGTAATGGCCCGGGTTTGAGTCCCCCCCCATCAGCGGGGGAAAAATGTAACCACTACTTAATCTTAATACTGATCTCCACAGGGACCACAAATGCTTTAAAATGTACGACTATAGTTTTCAGTTTAACATACTATGAAGTTTAGCCAAGACCTGTACTGTAAAACATTGGCACATCACTGCACATCTGGACAAATCCAGAGTTTGCGTAGTTACTGCAGGTCTGTGAGATGTCCTCTCAGGTAAGCCAGTTCATCAAACTGAACGCGCAGCGGCCATGTTTACCAAATAAATGCTCTTAAAACCTAAAATTACTCCAAGAAAGCCCAGGAACAACACAGGTGGAAAATCCAGCTTGGAAACTGGAAAAACAATTCAGGACCTTGAAACAATAAGACAGTTCATACAGTCACGACTTAATTTGGCATTCAGCTGTTGATAGTTGAAATATGTTTTGTGTGTCATGTTACATTGCTTCTAAGTGGATGTTACTGTACAGAGTGATTGTACACTAACACCAATACAAAATCTTCAGCACTTACAATAACAGACTGATTTGATGAACTGCTTACGTGTTACAAATGCGTCATAGCTACATTCATTATAGCTACCTTCAAAAAATACCTTGCTTGAGTTGTTTTTTTTTTTGATTTGCTTTAGGTGCACAGTGTGCTTAAAAGCAACAAGGCAAACAAGCACTTTATGTTCCTTTCTAGAGAAATTAACTTTTTGAGAAAGTAAAGGGACGAGTAAGAAAACTGAGCACTGAGAGAAGGATTCCATCTAGATTCACAGCAATATTCCAACTGTCAACAACAAACACAAACACGGTCTCAAACAACCTCACACACGCCACTGCACATCACCATCACACTCTTCCATTGTCTAGAGAGTAACAATAAATGTAGGATTTCACAGAAATAATAAAATGTTAACAAAAACAAAGTGCAAACACAGCTGCCATTATCGAAATGTGGCAAATTGTCAAAAAACCTCAAAATACCTCCAAGGCGGTAGCACAAATCTTACAAAATAGTACTTGTTCTTTTTGTAGTGTGTAAAAAAAACAACAACAACACCCAACAACATCAAAAACATCAAATTGACAACATGAAATTTGTGTATGGAACACTTTGTTGTGAGTCAGTAAGATTTCCACAGGAAAACTATTACTGCCGGGAGCCTGTTGGCTTTTCCTCTAATTCTCTGTAGCCTCTCAGTGAGACAAGTGCAGCGGAGAGTCTGGTGGCGGTTGAGTGGATGGTGGCCAGGGTCACACAGGCTTAGTGTAACCAAAGATTCCCACCGGGAAGTGCTTGACGTGTGTTGGCCACTGGGCGGCGAGCTGGAAAAACTTCACATCATTCCACTCCACGCCATCAATAGTGACTAAAGACAAAAGAGGATCATAGTTAAATGCACAAATAAATTATTTATACGTTAGAAAATTCATAGTGCTTCTGCTGTCACAGCTGACAGTTGTTACAGAGCAGACTATTCTTTGTTACGGTGATGGTTAGTATTTAATATTGAGGAAGGTCCTGACATCAACACCAGGTGTCAGTATAGCGTCAGCTGTGGGTTTGTGTCTACACGTCAGCCTCACCTCTCAGCATCGTGTGCTGGTGCTTGGCTGTGCAGATCAACCTGCTGATACCATCAATCACTTGGCTCTTAGAGTCCAGCTCTTTCTCCTTGGGCTTCTTGCTGAGAAATATCACTGGAAAGGGAAAGTGTGAGTGAGGCATTAAAAAAAAAACAACACATTTTCTATTTACATAAAGGGGAACACCACCGATTTTACAAATGAAAAAATGAAAGTGTGTTTACAGGTTTTGGGGGCATACTGCTGCATATGTGAAAAAAAGTTGGGTAAAGCCTTTTGTGGCTCCTGAGGGAGCTGTGCGAAGTATGATGAACTTGAGGCAGCGTCAGTTGGGGCTGAAGAAGTTTGAAAATAAAAATAGAAATCTGTGGTGTGGAATTGAGCTTACCAGACCGCTGCAGCACACTCCTCATCTCTCATTGATGCTAGCGGCTCAGGGTTACGTAAGCAACTACTAACGTAACACACCTAAACATAGTGTATGACTGAGTTGGATTGTGGGTATTGTAGGCGCCAGGTTTTGACAAGAAAGAAGAAAAAAAAAGACGGCATCTCTGCTCCATCGATTTGTGTCGATCTAGAGTCCGACAATGTTATAGGAGTGCAATGCTAAATCGATGGAGTACTCTTTTAACCCTTCTCCAGTATAAAAAATATTTTTCCCAACTCATCTGTCTTGTGCATGGACAATTTTAGAACCAGAAAGATTTTTTTGGTCATTGAGGCAAAGAGCAGAGCAGAAAACAGGCAAATGTAATCTGGCTACATTTGCTTTAATTATTCATGTTATGGTTACACATAAATCTATCAATGTGTTGTGATTACTACGTACAATGTTTTCATTTACTTTGATATTCTTTGTGGGTGTGTCTTATATTTTCCAAAGCGTACCTTTCTTGTTCTTCTCCTTGGTGACTACAGTCATGGCCATGCTGGGTGGAGGGGTGAGTTCCCCTCCACAAGGCAGGCGGCTGACTTGCAGTGAACGGAAGTTACTCTTCAGGGTGTTCTTCAGTCCCACGTCTCTCTTCTCACCTTCTTTCTTCTTCTCTGAGCCTTGCCACGTCCAGTAGTCCACCTGGAGCCCCATCACTTCACTGCCCGAACACGGAGAACTACAAAGGAAAACAGGCAAAGTCAGAAACACTACAGAGAAACTTAAAACACAGCTCACAGTGAGAAAGAAAAAAAAAAAAGATGTGTGTTGCTGATCATTATGTGTGAGCGTCTTGTTGTACCCAGCTCCAGAAAGGGCGGTGGACACAGAGGGAGACTGTGGGGGGGTGCCTCCGATCTCCTTCCCATACGGACCGGCCGATGGGGGCGTTGGAGAGGACAGGATGCTTGTGTTGACCCCCATCGCATCATCTGAGTCCACTGCAAGTTGAGGGGGGGGAAACAGTCTCATACAAAAAACTTCTAAGTAAATTTAAACTCAAACATGAGTATTGTTTGCTTGTGTGGAAATATATCCGTTCTAGGCATAACCAAGCATATGGAAGCAAATAAATTAAACAATATTATGGTTTCTGGGTCATTTTCTTCTTTCCTGACCTGGATCTGTATCCAGCGAGTGACATCTGTGTTTTTGTTAGATTTCTGTCTCAGCATATAGAATCAACAGTAAAAGGTTAAACACACTAACCTGACCAAATACTACCACACATTATAAAAAAGTGCCCTTCCTTACCTGAAGTTGAGAGGCTTTGCTCCACAATCCCAACTTTCACAACCTGCAAGAAGAAAAAAAAAAAAAAAAAGGTTTCAGTGTGAAACTATATCAAA